CCTGGCACCATGTGGCTTTCCAAGGGAGAAGACATGCTCTGGCAGGGAGCATAGGAGGCAGGTTCAAATTATGTGAATCGATATTTGGGCAGGGCAGTGGGTTAACGTTCACAGCAAAGGGCTGCGAGATTGCAAATGCCCCCACATGGAAGGGACTGGAGTATTGCAAGGCTCCTCTGAGCCATGCTGAGGCTGGGGCAAATGCTGAGAGACCAACCCAGCGCCTGGGCTGGGCTCGTCTCAATGCTCTCTTGCAGCACTTGGTGCATGTGCCAAGGGGGCCCAACCCTGCACAGCTGGGCTTGTGAGATGCCTCCCCAAGTGGGTGGCCTGGCTGTGCTGTAGCTGTGCCCAGATCCATGGGATGGGGAAATGTGCTCAGGTGGCTTCAATGTGTGGATAAGTGCTTGTGGGTGCTCTTGGCTCTGATGCCAAGAGACCCCTGGGGAAGTCTGTTGTGTCAGGATGGATTGACTGACTCCTGGGAGCAGCTGCAGCCTTTGGGGTGTTCAAGGCTGCTGAGCTGAGCCAGTGGGAGGCCACAAGAAGGGTCTGGAGCCCCCTCAGCTGCAGGAACAGATGGGCACGGGGACATGGGATCCTGGGGTGGGTGGCACAGTGCTGGCACAGCAGGGCAGGTGCCAGCATGGTGCTATTGCTCAATCTACAATCTGACATTTGAGTTGCTTTCTGTCAAGGCAGAGTCCCTGAAGGTGAGCAGAAAGTGGGATGCTGGGGCAGGCCATGCCAGTTCAGGCATGTGCAGCAAGCCAAGGCACTGCGTGCCAACCCTGGGCTGCTGTGTGTTATCTGTACCAGGTGTGCCCCAATGCAGGTGCCCCTCAGAGGGGCTCCCCATGCTGATAGGCACCCTTATGCTGCAGGAGGGGAATCCTGCCTAGGAAGCAGCAAACATGGCTCTTGTGTGCAAGCCATGACCACCTCATGCAGATAGTGCCAGGTGGGACAGGAGAGTGGGGACAGGGTGGGGGAAGATATGGGGTGTTTCCAGAGGAGGGTCTGTAACCTGGATTTTGGTGCATAATCAATATCAGGGGAGCAGGTAACATTTGTGTGAGTGAGGTGGGCAGGATGAATCTCAGCTTGCTGCAGCACAGCCAGGTGCATCCCAGGGCAGTGCCATGCAAGCAGGCATGGAGCAGGCACTGAAGCATGTCCTGGAGCACACACGTTTCTGCCTGATGCAGGTAGCCATGGCTTGCCTGGCCCTCTGCTTGCTGCCCCTTCTGCATATGCCTGTGGGAGTACCCAGTGCCTGGACAAGTGATTCCTGGGCATCAGAAGCACTACAGAGATGAGTCACCGGAGATGCTGGAGGGACTCCCAAGGGCTATTCTCTTGTCTGCAACTCCTGGTGCCCCTAAGCACCCTCCAGCCCTTACCTGCCTGGTTTTGCCATGGCCATCCGCTCTCCAGGGTGGCAGCTGTGCCAAAAGCCCCTGGCAGTGCCTGTGCCTGGATCCTCACTGAGAAGAGGGCAGGGTCCTGCTGGGCTTGGGGCCTCACATAGGAAGAGGCACACTTTCTGAGGCCCAGATGTCCTTTCTCACCCCTGAGCTGGAATCCACTCCTATTAATAGCAAGTGGCTGTTGATAGCCACTGTCAGCAGCAGGGGTGGGGACTGGG